TTTTCAAAATAGCATAGAAAACAAGTGGCTTCATTGCTTGACTACACTGGCATAATTTTAAACTTGGCGAATTTCGTAAAACTACTGCATTCCAGACTTATCGCGTGAAAACCAACTGAAACAGGATTGGCTTATCATGGATACTGAATCAAAACCGATTTTTGCCAAATTCGTTACCTACTACTCTCTGTGTCACGTCAGAATGGGCGGAGTTCACTGATGACTGCATCTCTGAATGGACATGTGGAAGTGGTGGACAAGTTATTACAACATGGAGCCACAGTAGACCTGCAAGAAGAGGTACACACACTATATGTACAGTGCGCAATACAATCAAACGCGTATCCAAAACGTAATCTCAGAACAGTGAGGTGAAGGGAACATGCTTACTTCATACTATGAGCTCTCTGAAAAAGTCTGTCATCTAGGTCAGGTGCACGATCAGCAACACAGCAGATTGCATTCCGTTTTATATACATGTAGCATCTATGATTTTCAAAATAGCATAGAAACAAGTGGCTTCATTGCTTGACTACACTGGCATAATTTTAAACTTGGCGAATTTCGTAAAACTACTGCATTCCAGACTTATCGCGTGAAAACCAACTGAAACAGGATTGGCTTATCATGGATACTGAATCAAAACCGATTTTTGCCAAATTCGTTACCTACTACTCTCTGTGTCACGTCAGAATGGGCGGAGTTCACTGATGACTGCATCTCTGAATGGACATGTGGAGGTGGTGGACAAGTTATTACAACATGGAGCCACAGTAGACCTGCAAGATGAGGTACACACACTATATGTACAGTGCGCAATACAAGCAAACGTATGTGCAAAACGTAATATAAGAACAGTGAGGTGATGGGAACATGCATACTTCATACTATGAGCTCTCTGAAAAGGTCTGTCGTCTAGGTCAGGTGCGCGATCAGCAACACAGCAGATTGCATTCTGTTTTATCAATTACATATACATGTAGCATCTATTATTTCAAATAGCATAGAAACATGTGGCTTCATTGCTTGACTACACTGGCATTATTTTAAATTTGGCGAATTTCGTAAAAGTACTGCGTTCCAGACTTATGGCGTGAAAACCAACTGAAACCAGTTTGGCTTATCATGGATACTGAATCTAAACCGTTTTTTTTGCCACAGTAGACCTGCAAAAAGAGGAATTAACTACCATTCATGCATGCATTTGTGTAGTGTTACCTGTAAAAATGGAAAGCACTAAAGTGCAAACACTTGGCGAACTGTGCATGCTCGGTACATCTAATTGATGGGCTGGGCTATTGGCGTGCGTTTACTCGCGGTCTCCCGCTAGTAGCTAGCTACAGCAGTAGATAGCATGCGGGAGTCGATACACACCCTTCATTGTGACTTCTTGTGCCTTCAAATACAAAGAGCAAGCGGACACGTCGACAGGTCGAGGTAAGCCTTGCTATTAACCCTCGCGCGTCTGATTTTAAAAAGGCAATTTTTCATAAACTACTGTTATGGTGTGAAAACCAAGTGAACAAGCCGATATGCTATTAGCACAGAATTGCCTCGACCGGGTCCGCTTGCTCTGTATATCATATCAAACCGGCTTCACATTGTCACATTTTATATCTACGTGATCGGCATAAAAAACCTCAATAGTCGGCAACAATGACTCGCTAGGCCTTCCAAATGCATACAAATTGTGTAAAAGGCCAAATATACCTACATACATATCCATCGACCTCATATGTACTAATGCGAGAATTCGCTTACATGTCATTTCATGATTGTGTCCTCCATCATCATCACTATCATACCTTCTTTCTTCAGTAAACTTACCCAATGGCCGGACCAGTTTAAGCGCGGTTTTTCCTCATTAAAATGTCTCCAGGTTTTTGAGTTTTGACAGAGGTGTGCATCATCACCAAGCGATTGTTTCTTTCTTGTCCCATGTCACTACAGTAGATTGTGGATATCTTACACAGTAAACATGGAAAGACACAAAACTCAGTAATCACAAGCAATGGGCAGCGAGGGCGTTGTCCTGTGCAGTGCTGGAACTGTATATGTATATCTAGCAGTAATGTACTCTACAAACTAGCTCTAGCTGCAATGCACTCTTAGGTATCGTTAATTGACATTTTATGCTTGTGTACTTTGACTCATCCTGAGAGACAATACCAGATGACATGTACATTACTATACTGGGACTAACAGAAAACGTAAGGTGTTAATACACACATTTTCTGACCAGATCTATACAAGGCAACTAAGAGCAGACTGCCAAAGGTGGTTTATTGTTACATTGTTTAGTGCATAGGCATGTCTTGTGAATGTCATCAGGTATTCCCATGTGTCATCTCAGGATGGAGTGAGTTCACTGATGATTGCATCTCTGAATGGACATGTGGAGGTGGTGGACAAGCTATTACAACATGGAGCCACAGTAGACCTGCACGATAAGGTAAGAAGTCCATAATGCTGCCGTGATGGGAGAAAGACTTTTTCTGTCCTTACTATCGAACTTTTGTATTTATACCCAGTCACAGTCCTGGACCCACTCCTTAACACACTACCAGTTGTGGTCTTGTGACATAGTTTAAGCCTGTGAAACTTTGTGCATGAACATGTCATTGTATTGTCTTACGTCATCTCAGGATGGGTGGAGTTCACTGATGGTTGCATCTCTGGGGGGACATGTGGAGGTGGTGGACAAGCTATTACAACATGGAGCCACAGTAGACCAGCAGATTAAGGTTAAGAAGTCCATAATGCTGCTCGTGAATGGAGAAAGAGCTTTTTCTGTCTTTAACTATCGAACCTTTTGTATTTAATACCCATTACAGTCCTGGACCACTCTTACACACTACCAGTTGTGTCTTGTGACATAGTTTAGCCTGTGAAACTTGTGCATGAACATGTCATCGTATTGTCGTATGTTATCTCAGGATGGGTGGAGTTCACTGATGGCTGCATCTTATTATGGACATGTGGAGGTGGTGGACAGCTATTTACAACATGGAGCCCAGTCAGACCAGCAACTAGGTAAGAAGTCCATATGCTGCTCGTGAATGGGAGAAGAGCCTTTTTTCTGTCCTTACTATCGAACCTTTTTGTATTTAATACCCAGTCACAGTCCTGGACCACTCCTTAACACACTACCAGTTGTGTCTTGTGAGATAGTTTAGCCTGTGAAACTTGTGCATGAACATGTCATCGTATTGTCGTATGTTATCTCAGGATGGGTGGAGTTCACTGATGGATGCATCTCAGAATGGACATGTGGAGGTGGTGGACAAGCTATTACAACATGGAGCCACAGTAGACCAGCAGACTAAGGTTAAGAAGTCCATAATGCTGCTCGTGAATGGGAGAAAGAGCTTTTTCTGTCCTTACTATCGAACCTTTTGTAATTAATACCCAGTACAGTCCTGGACCGCTCCTTAACACGCTACCAGTTGTGTCTTGTGAGATAGTTTAGCCTGTGAAACTTGTGCATGAACATGTCATCGTATTGTCTTACGTCACCTCAGGATGGGTCGAGTTCACTGATGGCTGCATCTCAGAATGGACATGTGGAGGTGGTGGACAAGCTATTACAACATGGAGCCACAGTAGACCAGCAGACTAAGGTTAAGAAGTCCATAATGCTGCTCGTGAATGGGAGAAAGAGCTTTTTCTGTCTTTACTATCGAACCTTTTGTATTTAATACCCAGTACAGTCCTGGACCGCTCCTTAACACGCTACCAGTTGTGTCTTGTGACATAGTTTAGCCTGTGAAACTTGTGCATGAACATGTCATCGTATTGTCTTACGTCATCTCAGGATGGAGCGAGTTCACTGATGTATGCATCTCATTATGGACATGTGGAAGTGGTGGACAAGTTATTACAACATGGAGCCACAGTAGACCTGCATGATAAGGTAAGAAGTCCATAATGCTGCTCGTGAATGGGAGAAAGAGCTTTTTCTGTGGCTACTATCGAACCTTTTGTATCTAATAGCTACACACTACAGTCCTGGGTCACCCCTTAACACGCTACCAGTTGTGTCTTGTGACGTAGTTTAGCCTGTGAAACTTGTGCATGAAGATGTCATCGTATTGTCGTATGTCATCTCAGGATGGAGGGAGTTCACTGATGGATGCATCTCAGAATGGACATGTGGAGGTGGTGGACAAGTTATTACAACGTGGAGCCACAGTAGACCTGCATGATAAGGTGAGTAATGTAAGCACCTAAGCACTGGCACGGGTTGCTTTCTTCACTGGGTTACCTCAGAATTAATCCACGCGTCTCACTCCCGATCTCACGGCTGGTTGATAGCTGGACTGAAGGAATGGTGAATAGTGTGTAGTAGGAAGGAGAGGAAGAACGGTGGAAAGGAAAGGAAGAAAGAATTGGCCTCTAATGATAGAGTGGGACAAAGTATGTGCACATTTTGTGGGTATTATAGGTCATCCTGTAATTAATAGGCTATTTAAATAAACATGCCTGAGGCTATTTGTTGTTGTTTACAAACATGTATTGTTGTGATTTTAATGTTGGTGATTGAGTGCATTATGTCTACAAAGTTTCGTTCACATAGCTCTGACCATTTGTGAGTTATACGTACTGACACATGTGATCCCATTATAATGTATTGCCTGGGGCTATTTGTTGTTGTTTACAGTAAACAATGATGTTTACAAACAAATAAATATGACCAGTCTCTTCGGGTGACTGATATCTACGTTGCTACAAAATTTCATTACTATATGTTATTTCGTTTTTGAGTTACGCGAGTTCAAACTGAAGAAGAAGGAGAAAGGAGAAGATGAACAAAACTCCCTATCATAGCCCCATACATCTATAATGCTAGGTACCATGCCCAGCCCTATATACTAAGTACTACCGTACTTATGAAAAGCACTGAAGTGCAAACCCTCGGTGCTCACTGTGACGCGCACGCGTAAATAAACGCATGCGCCGTACCACTAATTGATGGGTTGGGTTTAGTTTTAGCTGTTACTCGCGGTCTCTTGCCACTCGCGCAGAGTCTGACGCGGGATAACTACAGTACTAGATAGCATGCGAGAGGCGATACACGCCCTGCGTTGCATCTTCTGGTGCCTCCGTGGTACGCAGAGCACGCGGATCGATCCGACTGGTAAGCCCTCCCGTCCGTTCTATATTTGCATATTGGCTTTTTCGCGCTCTAGCTTTGCAACGGAGCAGTTTCAGGGAAAACCGCCTTTATTTTCTGACCTTCATTGCCCGTTCAGTAGGTGGTATCCTTAGTGAGACGAAAGAACACTCGAGAAGTGAGATGAAGAGTAACAGACAGACACACAGACAGACAGACCCAAGTACTGTAACCCTCGCTGCGCATGCGCGCCGAGGGTTAATATATTATAGTGATAAGTACTACCACCTTACTTAGTGATACAAACAGCATAGTAACAGGGAATGAACGCAATGTATTGTTGGCGAGCAAACAAGATAGCCACAAGTGATGTGGCATAATTAGTGTGTGTGGGTGAATCTACACACAAGAATTTGGGATTTTCCGCTTGTAGCCAGGCTCAAAGGGACTTGTCGCTGTTTATGAAAACTGTCAATTGGGTGATCCCTATTAGCCAGTGTATATTTTGCAGTATGCTTCATATAAGACTAAGTTTTGAGTCACGAAATCTGCTGGTCAGCATTTTCATTGTTCAGTTCTTCATGTAAGACTAAGTTTTGAGTCACAAAATCTGTTGGTCATCATTTTTCATTGTTTTTAGCTCGTAACCCATGTTCATACCTGTTTTTCTTATGGCATAGTATGCACTGGGTAACCAACAACAGATTTCGTGACTCAAAACTTAGTCTTATACTAGTAGGCGAATGCATGGCATTTTTGGCGAGCGGAAGCGAGCTTACAAATGGGGTCTAATCGTATGAGTCACTCTTGTGTGTGTGAGATACATTGTGTAGCAGCTGTAGGCGGGCCTCTCTCCTCACTGGACTCGGCAGCAATTTGGCGCTTTGAAGCTGTTGGAGCATGGCCTGATGTGCTTCCTCGGATTCTGCACCGCGTCTAGCTCCTGATCGTACACGACCTCTCGCTAGTCGCGCTTCCCTTTCCTCCGCTGTTTCTGTTGCCTTGCCCGTTCCCGATCACGCAATCGGCGTTGAGAAAGCCGAGCTTCTCTCTGCTCAGGAGTCTCACTGGCACGACGTTCTCTTTCCCTCTCTCGTCGACGACGAAGAGCATCTTCTCTAGACCGATCCATAACTTACACGCTCACAAATTATCAGGGGTGGAGCCCAAATTATCAGGGGTGGAGCCTTCTGAGGGGTAGGCGACGTATATACGGTGACATGCGCAGTTATATATAGAAAAATCGCGCCGTTCGGACCACTAGGTTAGCTCACTTCCGCTCGCCAATGAAGTAACAAGGAGGTGGACTTGCCTTGCTCACTCACAACACATAGTAACATTAAAACTGCAGGATGACGATACAGCACTGACATTGGCCTGTCAAGGAAATAATTTTGCTACCGTTTCTATCCTTCTGAAAGCTGGTGCCCATCCAAATGTCTGCAATAAGGTAACCATAAAAGAGCCAATGTGTATTCCATCAGTATTTTCACTGTGCCTGTCTGACTTAGCACATACACTGACTGTGTAATGGTCATGTGCCTAAATATGACCAATGTTTTTTATTTGCAGGGTATTAAAATCGGTATGTGCATGCACGTAGTGTAAAAGCAAGTGATAGCGAGTATGTATCTAGGCTCCACTGTTAGTTGTGTTAGACAGCATGTGTCATTTGCCTGTCACACATACACCACAGTCTGGTTATCAGGACTGTCTGTGGTGCACACTAGTAGCTACTCATTACAGTGAGTGTCTGTATAATTAGAGACCGTCTGAAAAACGCACGCTAGCAGCGCAGTCCAGACAGTCTTTTTTCAAAGATATGTATGATGGCTACATCTTCAAACTGGCAAGGCTTGCTCGTGTAAGTTTTCCTCCACACAAGGCCTATATGAGTGTGCTCCCACGTACAGCTAATGACTCATTTCCTAAGCACATGAGATGAGAAATGCACAGGTGTTGCCCTCTCTGACAGCTCCTCATTTTTGAGTTGTGACTGCATTGTGTGCAGTCTAAGACTTCTATCTTCATTAACCCTCGGTGCGCGCATGCGCAGCGAGGGTTACAGTAGTCGTTCTGTCTGTCCATCTGTTACGACGATTTCTGCCACCACGCGCAACAAACAGGTAAAATAGCGACACCAGCGGGTTCAGCGCTACACTGGCATTATTATAAAATGGGCGATTTTCGTAAAAGTGCTGCGTTCAGAAGTTATGGCGTGAAAACCAAGTGAACACGCCAATATGCTAATTAGCACTGGCTTACCTCGACCGATCCGCTTGCTCTGTGTACCTCGGAGGCACAAGAAGCCACAACGAAGGGCGTGTATCGACTCCCGCATGCTATCTACTACTGTAGCTAGCCCGTGTCAGACTCTCCGCGAGCTACTAGCGGGAGATCACGAGTAAACGTATACTAATGTAATAGGCCCAGCCCATCAATTAGCGGCACCGTGCATGCGTAGTTCGCCGAGGGTTTGCACTTTAGTGCTTTTGTGCTTTTCATTGTAACCAGTTATACAATCTATGTTCTTGGCACTCTACTGAATCCTATCACCATTGTCCTCGCAGTTTACACCATTTAATTACTAAACACACTCATGTCAGTGAGTAAAGGTGGCAACAGTGTAATAGGGCGGGTATGGAGGAAAAGCCATCAGTTTAATGTTTGAATGTTTACCAATAATCCATTGTACTACTGGATCACATATACTAAGTCATCCCTGTCTTGTCCCTTTGCATTTTATACCATCCCTGTATTCACTATTGTTGACATTGGCCAGGAACGGACTAACACAGCTACCTGTTAGCAAGTTTGTCGTTGTTCAAACAATCTGTGGTTGTCTGGAAACGAAGTAACCAAGTTTTGATCTGCATGCTAGCAAGTGTGAGGAGTGAAGAAGTAATTTAAAAAAAAAGTGCCTTAGGCTATTTGTTTACAAACAAGTTGTCATGGAAACAAGCATTTGTCATGGAAATGATGTAATGCTCATGCGTACCAAGTTTCACCTCTCTGTGTGCTACCATTAGAGAGTTTGAGAAGTGAAGAATTACATTAAAGGAAAGTGCCTGAGGCTATTTGTTGTTGTTAACATGCGCAGTGAGGGTTACGGTAGTTGGTTTGACTGTCTGTGTGTGTCGACGCTTATTCTGGCATTACAGGCTACGAGACGGCCCATTAGCGATACCAGCTGATTCAGAACTACGTGAGCCTTAAAACTAAAAAGGCGATTTTCCTGAAACGACTGCGTTCGAGAGATATGCTGTGAAGACAAGCGCAAAAGCCAATATGCATAATCGCATTGGGCTTACCGCGACCTGATCCGTTCGCTCTGTGTACCTTGGGGGCTCAGGAAGTCACAACAAATGGCATGCATCGACTCCCGCATGCTATGTATCTACTACTGTAGCTAGCCCGTGTCAGACTCTCCGCGAGCTACTAGCGGGAGACTACGAGTACAAATAGCCCAGCCCATCAATTTAGTTCAGTTCGCCGAGGGTTTGCACTTTAGTGTTTTTCATTTACAAACATGTTTTGTTATGATTTTGATGTTGGTGATTAAATACATTATGCCTACAAAGTTTCGTTCACATAGCTCTTACAATTTGTGAGTTATACTGACACGTCATGTGATCCATTATGTATAATCTGGGGCTATTTTGTTGTTTACAGTGAAAAAATTTGTTTACAAACAAAAAAGTATGACCAATCTCTTCGGGTGATGGATATCTGCATTTTTACAAAAGTGTTGTTCTGTTTTTTAGTTATGGGTTGAATCTGAAGAAGAAGATGATGATCAAAACTTCCCTATCATAGCCCCCCCATACATCTATGATGCATGATCATCCCGAAGACTACTGTACTTAGTGATTTTGGAAGAAATTTTTATATACTTGTTTTCCTGCATTCACACGCATGGTGTGCAATACTAATTAGGGCATAATTCCCAAACAAATGTAGCATTAGTGGCCTTAGCTGTTTTGACATCCCTGGGCAGGTAGCTCTTCTTTTTCTTGAAAAGAGCTGTCCTGGCAGGCTGCTCGGCTATTGCTTGCCTTGCCTATCTACGTTGTCACCTAGTTGACACATGCTTCGTTCACCATTATTAAATTAGTGTACCAACACTTTTTTAGTGCGTTATTGTTAACAAACTTGTAATTTCTGTTTATGAACTCTTAACATCAATGTACTAAGTTTCTGTGTTGGAGGACCAAGCATATCAAATTGCTAGATTCAAATGAGCTATGCACTAAAGATACCTTACCACGTCCTCTGTTCACCTGTTGTTCCTGCTTCCTTGAGTACCTCTCAGCACTGCTAATGTCTTGGTACATGCAAGTTGTTTTGCTGTGGTACTGAGTGAGTGTATGTGCTCCTAAGGACACCTAGTACCTTATTAATCAGTTATAGCCTGGTTCCAGGTGTTTCCTTTGATCTTTTGGAGTGTTTATTCAAGCTAGATCCACCCAGACTAGCCACAGTGCATGTATCTGGACCACAGTGCAAGTATCTGATAAGTGCGCTCGCCAGCATTGTTCAGCAGAGCTGCTGTCTGAACAATGCTATGAAAACTCCTGGATCACAGGTTATAAACCACTCAAAACACCCCATTATCGCGATCTAGTGGTATACACACAAGAGGGTTGAGGGCGAGTATACCAGCCAGATCCCTCAATGGGGCATTTTAAGTATAGGCGTAGCTGTAGGAGTGACAAATCATGGTATGACAGCAATAATCATTTTTCACAGTATGGCCTAAATGCACCAGTCCAAATATATGTGTGCATGGGTAGTTCAGCATTGCACTGGCAGACAAAATATAATGTGCACATAATATGCTTTGTATGGCCTGACAAGTGCCGTTTCATTACCTGCAGGCTGGCCTGACCCCACTATTGCTGGCAGTATGCAAGAATAATATGGCAATTGTCAGGGAGTTAGTGAATGCAAGAGTGGACGTAGACCACATGTATCAGGTTTGCCACACAGAGCTTGCCTTCAGCTCTACTTTCATGATCATGTACATACCCAGAATGGACTTTCTTCTCTGATGCTGTGTTGTGTAGAAGGGAAGTCAGAGATGGCAAACCTACTACTTGAAGCTCAAGCTGATACTGACCTTCAGCAATCAGTTGAGTTTTGATCTCTCATTGTATGTGTTTGATTCATGAGGGAGCGCACATTGAAGTCCGTTCGCGTTCACCTTGCCAGTAGGAAATCCGCTCTAACTCTGCTATACTACAGCTTGATTCCGTAGTTTCAACGTGCAATGCGTTTCCGGCAGCGCTAATGAAGCAGCCTACATTTAGCGTTCAATGCACGCTTGCCAGAGTAGCCTCGATGCAAAGCCTTCTCCCTCCTCATCGCAAATATATACGCGTGACCTTTGAACAATGTGCGAAGTTAAGGATGCATAAGCTATACACAGAATTTATATTACGCGTGACGCATAGTGATGTTTGTGCTATGCATCATGTGCTAAAATCTTCCTGGGCCTTCTCCCTAATTAACACTCAGCAAGCCACATAATACATATATATGCCCAGAGCCTCCATAAGTCCATAAGAATTTATATGTGGCTATAATACTAGGTGTCAATATGTTATACACCAAATTTTTTTTTTATTAAGGAGATACCCATTGCATCCAAAGGGTTTAACTTTGCCCATGGTTTAAAGGTCATGCGTGTATATTTGCGAGGAGGAGGGAGAAGGCCTGGGATGCAGAGGAGGTTGTACACAGGTCATAGATTATGTAATGAGTTGCTAAGTCAGCCATCTCTCTAGAGAATGTATGGGGGATACCGAGTGCTGTCCCTTAGAGCGGCTTTGACACACCACAAATATGCGTATTATGTCAATTATGTGTGTACTTGCGTAAACAGGTTTTGACTGCTCACTTCCTGCAGCAAGGTGAACATGATGGACTTTAGTAAGACCCCGCCTAACTCGTGAGGGATTATCCCTTTTAGAGTGTTAAACTTACGGGGCTATCTCTATAATATTCTCTCCATTCTGGTATTACAATGAGATGATGTAGCTAGGGGATGTCAAAAGTGGTCTACCTACACAAGAATAGGCCTCAATTCGAATCTGATCGATCAAGATTCCTCTGAATCTGCTATCCATTGACACGTGTATTTATGTGTGCAAGACATCCCCTTCCCAAAATATCGCTTGACTAAACATGTACATGCGGCCTGGTTTGTATCCAGCATAGTAAGTGGTTTTAATCACAGGGTGGTCGTATTATGTGGAGAAATTGTGTAGACCTGGCAATTTTGCACCGTACTGACATGGTTTATAAGAAAATGGTGAACCATACTCACCACACATGTGTACATTATGTGTAAAATCACAATGAAAAACTTTTGCAACATATTTATTACTTGGGCAATTCATGCAGGGTACTGGATACACAGCTCTGATGTTTGCCTGCAAGGGAGGTCATCTGGATACAGTTCTAGGTCTCATGGAACACGGAGCAAATTCAGCGATTAAAAATAAAGTTAGTTAATCAGTAAAAAGGGAGTTTTTTGATTCTTTATAATAGGAACGTATGACAGCATCGGATGTGGCATCATTGAATGAATTTCCGGATCTCTGTGCTGTTATTAATCTAATGGGACCATCACCTACTGTCATGCAGGATGAGATCATTGAGGTACGCAAGTAATGGGGTTAACTGCTGGAAGATAATATAGGTCCTGGTATGCTTTAGTCGCGAGTATGTAATCAGGTCTCTTACCCACCCACTTAAAGAACGCCCTGCAGTCACAGTAGGAATAGCTAGCTAGCTAGGAATTTAAAGTAAGCCAATCCTACGTTTTACACAACAAGTCTGGCCAAAAGAGCCCAATAACTATACTAGCATTCACAGTCACCTCCACAATATGTCTTCCATTAACGGGCCAACGTCTGGATAAATTTGTCAGCCGAATCAAATCGACTATTCTAACAGCACTTCCCACCTAAGTGGAAGGAACTCTCCAAGTGTCTTTGAGATTTAAAGGGTTCGGAAGTGCCATACCATCATTCCTATACATGGAACATATTGCCAGGTGCAACTGTGTTTCTGCACAAGAACGAAGGTGTAGACTTGCACTGAATACCAGCCAGATACTAACCAGGGCTGTATATACCTTTTGTGTTTATTCAAGCGATATCTCTATTCTTTTCTGAGTGTCTCCTACTTTTTATTGTACATTACGACTCTCGGATCGGGAAGTTGTTAAGAGTGAGTTTAAATGAAGTGAAAACTGTGCAGATATCAGTGCAGTCGGTGAAAGCTAAGTATTTAATTGTGTAACAAGGGGAGTTGGCCACCTCTCCAAAACTGTTTTGTGAAGTGTGTCCATGTGTGCACACGAATAGGGCTTTGGATTACTTTGGATTTGGCTTTTGGCAAGCGGAGCAAGCACCTTGCCATGCAGTCCTGAACGTAGATGGGCCGTGTGGGAGCAACTCGATCATGTAGACCCTGCCACACAGTGTTGCATAAAAAAGCCAATCAGATGGCGGAGCCCGAGGATGGTATTGAAAAACGGCTTAGGGTATATTCAGTACCACTTCAGCGCCCGTAGGTCAACAGTTTTGTAGCCCAGGAACACCGCTACGCCGTGGCTAGTGAATGTCACGTTGGCAATCGTGCATGCTGTGGACCGTACTACAGGGCTCGTCCGCGGTTCCCAGGACCGACGCTCAGCCTAAGCGATACCTCGGTGGTGGTTTAGGACTACTTCATGGTGTGTAGAACGGTAGATCCGCGACACATAACGTCGTTTTGGCTTCTTTCGCCGTCTCCGTCGGTAGGATAGCTACTCATACCCTCCGGTGGATATGAATATCCCCCCAGGAAGTGGTCGGTCGGGTGCAGTCAGTGGTACAGAGTATACTCGCGTATGCGGCACTTTGATTTCTATGGCTTCTGGGCTACAAGTGTAGCCAATGCATTGGTTTCATTTTTGTAACTTTTACAGCATCCGGACACTCCTCTGATGAAAGAAGCAGTTGATGAGGTTATCAAAAGATTTCATGCTCAGATGGATCATGTTCCACTAATATCACTCTACGATAGCGACAAACAAGTGGCACTCACAGTTCCAAAACAACATTTCAAACGTCATAGTAAACGTTTCAACCTAAACTAGTAGTGAATTGTCAAGTATCACTGTTTAGTCTCCTTTACTTGCGGTCGTTATTATGTAATAATTGGTGTGAGCTATATCAGACCATTGGTATAATGTTTAAGGATGGCACGGGTCTAATTAATATGCTCATGCATGACTCTGTGCAGAGTTTTGTCTCTACGTCTTACCTGGTTTTGAGATACGCTTTTCTAACCTGAACGACAACAACGACAATAATATTTAAGCCATATTCGTAGGTAGCTACATCCATAATAATTATTTTGACCACTGATACCGGTATCAGTCGTGATACTGATGGAAAGTGAAAGCTGCATATCACAAATGTATGGTAACCTACATGTTATCTCTATTTCACTAGGTAGCTACTACCGTACTTAGTGGTTTTGCCCAGTGGGGCTCGCTAAGTCTAGACTGCATGACCTGCTCTATAATGTGGCATTTTAGGCACAGCAACAACATAATAATAACACACACCAGTTTAGCAGTTTAAGAGTTGTATTTTCGGGAGCAGTAAATTCAATCTCCGCCAGTATTACACTGGGACTCATCAAACTTGCTGTAAAAGAATGATGTTCCAAACAGAGAAGATGTGTAGTACCGAGCCACACTTCCTTCAATGGCAGACTCTCTGGGGTCATTAGATCTTTCGGGCCCACCCTGAGAGTCTCCTACATAGTAGCAGGGAGCCAGGGTGTGGTCCCAGGTGAGTGCTGCCAGCTCTGCTGGTATACGGCGGTAGTGAGGACTCGTAGAGTTGAATAGGACCACAAAAATGTTCACCACCATCAACTATTGCAGTAATTGGAATGTTCCAAAATTGACCTGGGAAGAGGAAATAAAAATGACAGTGCTATCCAGGTATATATCTACTGGCCTTTCACATGGCAAGGCAAGTATTGCCCATCTTCTAGAGAGTCTATAGTTAGCTCTTCTCTTGGTGCATCAGGTTGGTGCATCAGGTTGGTTTTGTATTACGATTACAGCCTTTGCCTAGTGGCTACTATTATACTAGGGAACTGAGTTTGATTCTCAAGCTGGGTGTTGACTAATAAATTCGAGGTAAGAGAGTTTAATTAAACCCTTAGCCAGCCACGGGCATATATATATACAAGTGGAAAAATCATTTCTTCAAAATGAAAGGGGGATATTATTATGTCTATAATACTAGGCGTTAATATATTATACATCAATTTCTGCTTATTTAAGGAGATACCCATGGTGTCCAAAGGGTTAAACTTTGCTTATAAACAATAAAACAAAGATATAGGGATGGTGTCATGTAGCTTTGTGCAACTTTGCTGTGTAATGACCCCTTGTTTCTTCCTTTTTGGTGCTTCAAGCCATCCCTATATCCCCCTTTCATTTTGAAGAAATGATTTTTCCACTTGTATACATTAGCAACCAATGCAAGAAGGTACTGGAGGTTGAGAGTTTCTCTGCAGGTCTGCCAACTCGCCTGGTAATACGCTCGCAAGCGCATTGGACAACGCCCCTGCCTCGCGCATGCGCGAGGCTCACCGATGCTGAGTAAGCAGCAAATGGCGTTGTTCAGTGTCGACCAAGGAAGAGCTCCATGATCTACCGTAGTGACTAGCGGCAAGAAAGAAACGATCGCTTGATGTCCGTGCACACCTCCGGCGAAATTGGAGACCTTCAGTGAAAAAATCAGTGCTTGAACTGGTACTGGTAAGGAGATAGCGGGTTTAAAGAAGAAGAAGAAGAAGAAGATGAAGAATATGATGACACGAAAATCGTGAAATCGCGTATGAGCGAATTCTCCCGTGGACGACTGGAGGTGCGTATGAGGTCTTGGGGGACATGTATAGGTAGATATGGGCCCGTAGACTATTGCTAGTATGTTTTGAAGGCCTAGGGAGTGATTCTCACCGAGTTTTTAGTCGTTTTGTACGCGGATCACGTGAGATTTCACCCGTGTCATCCCTATATAGAGAGTCTACCGACTCTCTAATTATGATGACACGGAAATCGCGAAATCGCGTAAGTGCGAATTCTCTGGTGGGGAACTGAGGGCACGTAGGAAGTCTTGGGGCATATGTATAGCTAGGTATTGGCCTCTAGACTATTGCTAGTGATTTTGAAGCCATGGTGAGTCATTCTCGCTGAGTTTTGAGGCGTTTTGTACGCGGATCACGTGAGATTATACTCGTGTCATCCCTATATAGAGCGTCTACCGACGCTCTGATATATGGCCAGAGCCTCTATAAGTTCATAAGAATTTATATATGGGTTATAATACTAGGCCTTAATATGTTATACATCAATTACTGCTAATTTAAGGAGATTAAGTTCAATAGATAATGATGTACATTTGGATCCCTGAAGGCACCTTTTGCTATAAAACTTCTCATGTAATGTGCTCCGAAAACAGTTCGTCTACACTCTGTAATCAAGTGAGAGGTCTGCTTCTTTCTAGGAAGTGTTAACTACACATTAGCAAGTGGCATGGTATACACAATGCCAGGTTGAGTCTGTGCTTTGTAAGTCTTCACTTCTAACAGGTCACAGAAAAAACTCAGTGCTATATATCCAGTTGTAATATTTTCTGATGCCACTAAAATACTTACCAAACAATTCTTATGTCCTTCTGCAAAAAGACTACTCAGAAATTATGCTAATTATGATTGGTGTCCCAAAGCTATAGGATGGGCACAGAATGCTAATTTGGCAGTTGAAATAGGTTTGTGCTCTGTAGATGCCACAGTTCTTGCACCCATCTATTTAATCATAATGAGCACATGTATCAGTGTTTTTCACAATGCAGCCCATGATAATATGGCCAGTGAACATATGCCTCCTTTTTGCCTGGATGCAAGTGTAGCCACATTTGAAATGATGTGTTTTATGCGTGTTACCTAGAAGTCCATGGGAAGTGGGAGCCAAGTTGTTGCCTCTGGCGATGCGGAATCGCAGCATGTCTGGTTCACTGTCACAGAAGATCCACATTATCAGAGATTGTGTGGAGTCACAATTGGGGACAGAGACTCGCCAGCGATTGAGGTATTGTCTCACACTGATACTGTTTTGTTGATTGGTTGAGGTGACTGTCTCACTATTCAAATTACCTGCACAGTTCTCAAGGCTAATTTGGATCTTGGCACAAGTATTGCGTGTGCTCACTGCGTAAATACCGATTTCACTCATCCTATTGCGTCTTGGATCAGATGGCTGTTCAGTAAAAAGAGCACTAACAGAGGTGCACGTGTCCGAAACGAGGTTGTAATACTTTCCAGCATGTCCATCAATCTCATAGCACATGAACTGATCTTCTTGTACAGCCACCGTGAACAGTGGATCTCCAATTACAGTATTATAAAAAGCTTCTGTGGGAACTGCAGAGCAGGGTATAAAACAATATGGCGAATTAAGAACGTTATAAAGTGGTACTTAGTATGCAGTCTTGCATAGATCCTTATAGCTAGTTCAGTTATCTACTTCTTCAGATGCACTTATAATATATACCTAGAGTTCCAGCTGTGCTGGCAGTGAGAACGGCACTGGGTGTACTTGTCTGTCCGTCACTGGCTATTGCAATCACTCTGAATGAGTACTCGGTCCCTGACTGAAGACCCGTCACATTCACTGATGTCCCATTGCCTTCTAGAGTAATGTTCCTCTCAGTCCCTCCACCACTGACCAGGATGACCTGGGATGAAGTCAGGACATCTCCAGGGAAGAGAGACCAAGACACCACTATCCACGACACTCCGGCACTCTCCAACACCAGGTTCTCTGGCGGTCTGTCAACTAGATTTGATTTAACAAAGTATCCACATCACATTGTGTGTGTATTTCTGTCAAACTTACATGAAAACTGTGTCATTGCTAGTGCAGGGAGACTGGGAAAACTCATTTGTCCATCTTCTGCCACAGTTACCACTCTCATCGAGTACATGACGCCAGCGTCTAAGTTGGTTATGTTGGACTTGGCTCTCTGGCTATCGACTGTGACATTGTACTCTGTCCCTCCTCCGCTCACCAGCACCAGCTGGATCAACACACCAGCAGATGTGACCACTGGCTCCCAGGAGAGGATGATCCAGGTTGAGCCAATTGCCTCCACCTCCACATTTATCGGAGGAACTAATAATATAGAAGGAGAAAGGCACATTGAATAATTATTTGCAGGGTACTTGTAGCCCAGGCAATCGGAAAGAATACCCCTTAATGAGGAAACTTTAGGGTGTCATAAGAAACAACAACATTACCTGGCTTGTAAAAGTCTCTCTTACACAATAAACTTACCAGGAGGAACAATTGGTTCGAATTCTTGTTCATCTGTGGCACAATCAGATACACATGGGTTCAAGAGGTAGACAACTTCCCCAGCCTCATCCAGGTAGTCGATAATGTGCAAGAAGAATGGATCTGCATCGTCTGGACTTGGCTGAGCCTCCCCAGCAACCCATGCATTCTCTGGAGGTAGTCGAGTCACCTCTCCACCAACAGCTTTTGTGAAATTGATGCTTCTTTTGGTTTCAGTGAACACCCTGCCAACATCTTCAAACCTGAAGTAGACCCAACCACTGAAGTTGCTGGATGCAAGGACCTCTATACTACCAGAACCTTGAGGAATGATTGATTCGATTGCTCCTTCACTCACATTGTATCTAGTGAAGGTCTTGCTGCTGTATAAAGCATCTGGAATATCAAACAAGTCAGTAGCATCGTTGACTAGAAAGTCTAAGACACCATCGCTCTCATCTTCCTGATATATGACCACATTTCTGATGAGATCGTGGATGACAAGTTCGTCCAACACAGAGAGTCTGGGATCACCTAGTGGGTTCATGTACTCAAAACTGGCAGAATAGTTTGTGAACTCCCCCTGAAGGCTGGAGATGAGGAGCCACCGGGCTACCTTTGTCTCCATCGCCTCAATGTCTCCAAAGTTTACTGTCAGTGAGGGACTCACACTTTCACCTCCGATTCTTGTTCCAATAATCTTAAAAGTAACCAAGAGTCCCTTCTCATTCTCAATGATCTCTGGCTGACCTGATGTTATCCTCAGGTTCATTGCTGTCCCATAACCTCCATTGTGGATGGCCACTCCAGAGCAAATGGTACTGAGGGCTCTCTTTCGTCAGTGAATGGGTTGTCTCCAATCACAAACTTCTCCCAAAAGTAGTGGATGATGAGTGAGGGTCTGGGGCTACCGTGATTCTAGTGGGCAGGAGTGGGATTGTGATGTTCTCTCCACTTGAGACGTATGAAAATGACCCTCCAATGTCATAATTTCTGTTTTCGGTAGGGGCAGCCTCAGACAGGGGGACAATGAGCCATTCAGCAGCTCCTGACTCACTGCTGGCCAGGATCCATCCTCCATCTCCGTCTCTCAGAGTTCCAGTCAGTGTCTCATTTCCTATGACAAAGAGTTGAGTGGACACTGCTCCTGAGCCAACATCGGTAATGAGAAAGGCCATTTGAATTCTCCGTAATTCTGTAGCTTCCATGTTCTCAATCTCCAGTCTAGCCAGAAAGGAATCTCTGGTCAACGCAATTTCTTGCTCTATTCTGATTCTGACAACTGCACAAACCCCTTCATCTTCATCCTCATCTGCCTCTGCTATCATGTTGTATTGGTCTATTACATCATTGTAAGAATCAAGAAACGATTCTTCTTCTCCCAAACCAATTAGTCCATGAGCAGTGTGCACATTTCTGGTGAAGTTTTGAACTGCACTGTACGACACCATATTGGATCCATTTTGAGGCTCAAGTGTTCCATTACCCCACCCAATGAATGTGTTGTTATACCTATGCAATGAAGCTTCCACCATTTCCCTTGTGGCATTACGAGTGGTGGCAAGCTTGTGATTGCAGTAAACTCATCTCTAGTAATCATAATCCCCCATGCTGGATGTCACCTAATGCTGGGCGAACACATCTGATAGCCCACTGTCGATCTAGATACTAGTCTTAACCACCTCTCATCACCTAGATTTCAACGCCAAGTAGTGTAAACTCGTGCATTGCGTAGATATATGGACTAGTTTCACGAACAGTGTCTGCTAGACTTCGCCTTCTGCGTCAATTGTTGTGTCAGCGCCAAGACAGTCACGAAGCACGGGAAGGAAGGCAAAATAATCCTGAAATTGGTGTGTTTACAGGGATCACTGAGAGATATACAGCCAATGAGACTAGACAGTCAGCAATCATCAGTTGGATTGAAAGGAGATGTGTCTGGATTAGATCCAAATTATAAACTAGCGAGAAAGTAGTGAACAACTAAAACCAGGCAGTGGGATGGTACATCCACTGGCACTAATACAGACAATTTCACAAGTGGATTGTTGTTGGGGTATAAGTAAAGCTGATAGAGTTGGGTCACCACTTTGTCTGGGTCGCCATCAACCTATATCTTCCCCACAACACCTGTCTAAATCCCTCAGTACTTTGCCGTGGCAGAACGATGCTGGACATCACCCACACACATAGGAATATGCGACTCCAATTGTGATAGAGCAACTACATGCAGCCACACTTTTCGTTTTCCTACCCTTCAATCGTGTAACTCACCGCACAATAATGGAGGTCAGTGCATCAAGAGACCCAAACTCTTCAAATATCAGTTGAAAACTCGAGGAAGGGATGTCCAGTTGGGGGTTGGAAACCTACATCATCAGCTCTGATAAGGCCGTGGTTTGTGATGTTGTATTGAATTGTGTCTTCAGTCCCAGTTCGTATGGCTCCAGTGAGACCTCTCTTGGTGTTATAGTCACCACTGGAATTGGGACATGTGTCACAAAGTCTGCCTCTAGCGTCACTGTGTATGTCTCATCGAAGGTGGTTGGGACTACAGTGAAGGAGTATGTTACAGCTCTCCTTGGTAGAAATACTGTGTGAACAGGCTCTTCTGCTGAGGTCACTAAGATCTGTTCAAGCGGTACATGGTTAGGCCCCGTTATCCGAAGCTGATATCTATCTTCATTGATATTCAAGAAAGTTACCATTCCACTCTCTCCTGTAGTCAGCATCTCTCTAATACCACGCTGGCTGTTTGTAAGTGTCAATAACTGCACCACTAAGTAATGGTCGCCCCTCAGCAAAATAGGAGTACTCATCTTCTACCACTATCGTCAAGTTCATAAGCATGTCTGAAGAGACAATTATCCTGAAGCGAATAGTTTCAAAGGTTTCCATGGATGATATGACTATTCTACCAGAAATCTCCCCAAGAGGTTCTTCTGGAGGGATTGTAACCAACACAGTCAATATGGCAGACTCACCACTATCCATCGTCAGTTCCCCTTCATTTTGCTGCTGAGCAGTTCCAAAGTTGACAAGTGACATAAATGCTACATCGGGCAGAACTGCTCTCACCATGTTAGCTGGTATACTCCCAACATTAGTGACATTGAAGTCCAGACTGCGGGCTGTTCCCCTAACCGCTCTTGTGGTGATAGAGGATGGACTGATGACAAGTTCAGGAAGGATCTGTGCTATGAAAAGGTTTACAAAGAAGGAGGCTTCAGTGCCTTCCACTGAGCGTACTGTAATTGGAAATGAAGCCTGAAGGGCACTTGCAGATTTTACATAGATGTCGATTGAGGTAGTTTCACCTGGTTGCAATTCTGAATGGCTAAGAGTTGCTGTGATCGTCAGCTGGTCCGTGTTCTCTAAAGAGCTCATCACTAAAATGCTGTGAAGGGCTCGTGGACCATCATTGATGAGAAATGACACATTGTGGAAGGTCTTCTCAAATGAAGCGACTGTTGCTTCTCTCAGTTGCACATTTCGTGGGTGAATGACATCCCAAGGAAGTCCCAACTTGTTTGGTCAGTGGCTCTTGGTGCACGTGGGTGTTTGGCACCAGCCACGTAGGACCCATACTCAGTGTGGGCTGGGTAAAAACACCTGAAAATGTCCTGTCTCTCTGACTGAATGTCTTCAACTCTCTCCTTCCGTTAGACCACTGATTTCTATTGTGACTGGCACAAACCCCCTAAGGAGACCTTCAATTGTGTTTCCTTCAAAGTACTCGACTCGACCAGTCAGTTCTATAGGGGTTGCTCTAGGGTAAAGGTTCTCAGTCACTGGATCCAGGACTGCAGTATAGCCAGGCTTACCACAAGGGACCATGACACTCTCTCGACACTTACTTCATTCTCAACTTCAACTGTTAATGTGTAGTTGCCAACCTGCACTCTGCGCCATGAAACTGTTTGTGCTTCCTGATTCAATATCACCCATCTGGGATGAGAGGAGTGAGAAGAGAAAAGACGTGTTCCATTGACAACTGTGATCGTCCTAGGTAATCTTCCAACTCTTGCAAGACAACGCTGTCAATAGGTTTCCAACCACAACTGAATGAATAAGAATATCACATTGCTCTCCAAACCAAGGCCTATTACACAAACAGCTACCCTGTATACAGATACCACGAGTGGGTTCTGGCTGACCACAAGCATTGAGAGGGCACACATCAAAGAGAGATATCTCCTGCTCAAAGATGGATAATTCCGTGTGCAACCATCTGTAAAAGTCCACGTGCGAGTGAAAGTTATTGGACAGGTGTAGTTAGCATTTGAATCATCATAACTGAGCTCGAGTGGCCTCCTGCAGGGGTTTGGTAGTGTGGCTGTATTCCTGGTATTGTTATAGAGTCTGTGGAGCTGTCACAAGGTAGTGATACCACCGTAAAAAATTCACTGCTGGAACATACTCAAGCAAAATATATTGTGTCACTATGCCGATGTTTCCGGCTTCATCCGCAGCTCTCCATGTGCGGGCAATAGAGCAAGGCATCTGCCTATCCCAAAAGCTAACTGTTGGAGCAGTGGTCTCTATTGTCTCTGGCCAGTGCCTTACCTGTCTGAGCTGGAGACAAGTCACCAGTGCAGAGGGCACTGGTGTTGGTCACTCCGAACACAGTTGGGGTTCAAAATCAGTCTCCCAAGTGTAGCTGACTGGCTCTCCAACATTACCTGCCTGGTCTGTGGCCGTGACCGAGAGAGTGTAGTACCTTCCATGACTCAAGAGAGGGCTGCTGAAGGAGCCAAAACAGCTGGAAGAGGAACCTTTGTCACTTCCCATACTGCCTTCAAAGAATGTGCATTGGTAAGCACATACCTCACTACCCTCACAGCGAAATACAAGAAAACCAATCCCAGTGTTTGACACCTCACCTGGTACCGAAGTGAACTCCACAACTGGGGGAGTTGTGTCAATACTGAATGCATGTACCACTGATGCTGTGTTATTGAAAAGATCTGTCGCTGAAATTTCAAGCCTGTATGAGCCTTGAATTAGGTTTAAGCCAGTCCAAAATGCATCAAAGCAATTCACTTCGACTGATGTATGTCCACTAATAAGTGTACATTCATATGTTACAGGCTCATTGCTATCCCATGATATGGAAACATTGGCATTGCTAATAAACGGACCATCCAGTATTGTGACTGTTGGTGGAGTTATGTCACCAGTTGTGAATGTCCAGAAGTTTTGATCCGTAAGTGGTTCATTTCCAGGTTCACATCCCTCAAATCCTAGCACTACTCCCCTAGCAAAGCTGATATAGTACTTTGTCACCTCTTCAAACCTGTAATCGGGTGTCAGTATGATTTTTGTGCCATTCTCAAATGCGATCTCTGCCTCAGACGAGGCATTTATCTGATACACCACTTTACCAGTGCTAAACTCGTGGAAGGAAATGAAAGCAGGGAAAGAAGAACGCTTCACTTGTCTATCAAATTTCACTTGAAATGAATGTTGAGAGGGATGAACATGTGTTACCATATTAGGGGACGCTGTTTCAGCTAAAGGAGTGGGAGGATAATGTCCGGGGAGCAGTTGGATACACGATTGGCTGCTGGACAATCCACCTGTGTTGGTGGCTGTGAAACAGAAAAGGTGTATATTATTCTCTTGCTCAAGCGTGGGTAACCATGTTATATTTACATAGAAGGCACCAGGTGTTTCATCAGAAAACACACTAGACTTTACCACTCCTGCTGGAGAGACGGTCTGTATCTCGGATATGGTGTCTCCTTCATAGCCACTGCTTGCCTCTAGTCTTAGATGTAGTGTATGGCCCAAGGGAATAACAATGCAAGAGTCATCATATGGGGTAGGTGGGACAAAGGTGGGATTCACTGAGCAAGACCTCATTGTGTCTACAACAAGAACGAGAAACTGTAGTGCCACGCTACTCAAAGCAGTGGTGGATCCTGGTTGAAAATCTTCAATCATGAGTGCTGCTGCGCGGAATCCTTGTCCCTGATCAGCGACATAAACCAAGGAGCAAGTTTCGGGAACAAGAATGGCACCTGGAAACCCGTCGCAAATCCCAGCACATTCACCCCCCACAGCCCACCGACACCGCACAATGTCGTCATCTGGGTCAGTGACTGGAACTCTGATAGTATGGTTGCAGCCTTCCTGGATACGGAGAACTGGACTCGTTATGGCTCTTGGAGTGGAGTTGATGTCTCCCGTGTCATTTCGTCTTGCAAGTGAAAAGGTGGTAGGAACCCTCCAACGTGAGCCGAATGGTGATATCCAAGCACGACCACTAAAAGCTATAGTAATGATATCGACTCCTTCAAGAAATGTGTATGTTACCACCCGCTCACCAAAGCTCCAGTCCTCTTCAACACTAAAATCGGTACATCTATACCCCACATCTGATATTGTACCTGAACATCCTTGTTCGCATTGAATATTTCCATTTACACCAATCAGTTGACCATTCTCT